GACGGCTCGGGAAGTCAGGTCGTCACAATTCATTAGTTAATTTAGAAAAGGTTATTCAAATTAGAAGAAGGATAAATTAATTGAATTAATCAATCGTAATGAATATCAATAAGACTAGACCTCTAAGACTTAAGCGGATTAAGTTGGAAACGTTGATAATGAATGACAACCGATTATAAGGAGACGTTTGGTTCATGGATTAGAATTATAAGATTAGAACTATTTTTTATTTACGTGTATTTTTTGTGAGAGAAAATACTGTAGCGAGCCCCAAACCATGATTCGAATCGGGGGATGAATCCCCCAACCAAACAATAAGTATCAATTGAACACAGAACTTGTAACATTACGAGAGCGGTTTTCTATAGTTAAACGCTAAGCGGTAGCACCCAGGTAGGGATGCCAATTCGTGTTAGTGGGTCGTGTTCGTATTAATCCGTTTATTAATCGTGTCAGATAACATCAACCCAAACACGACTTGTTTATTAAACGTATCAAAAATGTCAATCCAAACACAACCCATTTATTAATCGAGTAATCGTATCAACCCGTATAACCTGTTTAAATTAATATATTAAATAAATAACTAATATAATAATGATTTATTTAACACGATCATGACATGTTTAACATATTTATTGGTCAATTTATGTTTTTCTTTAAGAAAAATAAATGAATTTTACCTACAAATATTAAAATTCACATTATTAATATTTAATATGTTATATAAACTTTTGATGTGAAAATTACAAGTGCATAATATTGTATACAAGTAATAAAGTAGTGAATAAAGTATCATTCTCACAATAATTGCATTAATTTTAATTAAGTACCGAAATTGATTAACTCTAAAATTATTTGAATAGCCTAAAATAAAATAGTAAGATAGTAAGAGCAAAATACAAAGAAAAACTCAAATAAATAAAACTCAAATAAATAAACAACTCAAACAAATTAAAAACTAGGGCAACTGATTTCACAAAATCTAATCCACTTTAATTCCTCAATTCTCATTATTCATATTTATTATCCAAGTTGACAATCGAAAATCCCTAATTTATTCAATGTTCTCTTCCGAGTTATGCCAAAAGTCCCCTCAATTGCTAACCCACTATATTTCTATGTTTATTACAACAATCAAAGTGTCATGAACAGTTTATGGATTTTCATGTAGCGACCACACAAATAATACAAGTATATTCCTATCTCACATACAATTTATGGCATCAATACAATGAACTCAACACATAATTCTCCTTCCAGTTCTATTATGATTAACCAACCATCTAATTAGTGGTCAATTAATTAGAAGTATTAAAAATGGTGATGAACACTCAATATTAGAAAATAAAAATAAATAACTCGAATAAAAGAAATTAAAATATCATAGTGGGGCTAAATCAGAGCTCTAGCAAAATAAAACTAAAACATAATTAATTTAAAATAAATCAAGGGTTCCAACATCTCAATTCACAAAAATACAGAGATAAAAAAATTAGAAGGAAAAACTCATATAAAGGTGACAGGCTCCAAGCTTGACTCTTCAATTCTCAATCTTCAATTCTTGATTTTTAAAATATTTTCTCCCTTACAAAACCTAAAACTAAAAATAAAAATCTTAAAAGAGTGACCCTAAATTCTCCAAAATATATCCTCAAATATTTTCTCAAATCAATTCTTCCAACGGGGCTCTGTATATTTTGACCTGCGTGAAGAAATTGAATGCGCAGGGGGTCCTCCTCTCTTTTTGGTCTTGCGGCTGCCAAGGGCTATTAATAGCCTCCAAATTCACAGGTCAGATGAGCAAAAGAAGGAGGGCATTAGGGCTCTGATGCAAAGGTAGACACATGGTAAACTTTGAGTGGGTTGGAGCTAAAACTAGGTGATGGTGCACTCTGAAATGCGGATGAGGACAATCGAACGGCCAATGAAGAGCATGCGTGCTAGGGGGCGTCGTTCGCTTCATGGATTTGAGTTTTTAATTCGAACTAAGATGTGGTATTTTCTGAGAGCTTTTAACTGTAGCAGAAAAAGTTAGATGTGACCTTTTCTGAGAGCTTTTAACTGTATAAATCTATAACTGAAAACTCGAATCGGTAAAATGACCGAATGTCAACTCAACTTCAAATTGTACATTTCACCTAATTTAAACACAATTAAGGATTAATAAAATTATTGGAGGAAAAACTAAATAAAATCAACTAAAATAAAATAAAATAAAATAACAGAAAACTAAACTAAAAATAAATAAAACAAATAAATTTTTTGAGAACATAGCAAATTTAAATGCAAATACGAAGAAAAATAACTCTATTGTGTAGAGTTATCAACTTTCATATTATATCACATATCATTATATTATAAATGATACATATAGTTAATAGTGTCAATTAATGTCACTTCGTATTAGGAGGTCAATCCTAACCCAACCTATTTATTAATCGTGTTAATTGTGTCAAGTCGATTATAACTCAAACCCATTTATAGTAAATCCAAACCCGCTAACTTCGTGTGAGTTTTGAATCGTATCGTCGTGTCACTATCTGGATTGTCAGCCCTACACCCAGTATGTACAAATCTCACCTACAATATGAATGTGTTTTAAAAAAATATGTTTGAGATATTGTTTACTTTGTGTCCACCTATTTTCTGTGATGATAAGTGTGATGATGATTATATTATCTACGATCATGATAATTTAAAGCATGTTGTTTCTTAAGTTTAAATTGCATTATTAATAGCTATGTGATATGATCATAATTGCATGTTTACCCTAATAAAAGGCCGTTTACCCTAATAAAAGGCTGGCAATAAAGAGGTAAATTAACTGCAAACTTAATCAGGTCCAGCGACGGATGTACATATAGCTCAGTGGGAGTTACCACCCCACTCAAATCTTTTAAAAAAAAATATTAGGCGCGTTTGGAACTCGTTTTAAAATAATTTTATTTTTGTATGAAAATAAAAATGAAAATGTTTTCAATCCCAGACAGAATTCATTTTTGAAAATACGTTTGGTAATTTTATCAAAATATTATTTTCAGTATAAAAAATCCATTAATGTCTCTCTCTCTACTCGAGGAGGAGAAAACAAAAACAAAAAATAAAAAACGACTAAAAGTCATTTTTTATTTCTCTCTCATTTTAAATTAAACCAAAAAATTATTTTTATTTTTATTGCGCCAAACGCCGTTTTAAAAATATTTTATTTTTTCTTTCTTTAAAAACGTAAAAAATAAAAATAATATAATTTTAAACACGACCATTACCTCTTAAAATTTTAAAATTTTAAACTTAAACACCTATTAAAATAAATATATTTCTTTACATTCTCCCAACACTTTTTCACTTTACTCTTTTAATTTTTAACTTTTTATCTACCCTAACCTCTCATTGGTTATACTAAAGGGAAAGTTCTGAAAAAGGAAAAAGACAAATCAATAGTAAAGGAAAAGTTGCAGACAAAAAGACCACTTATGGTTCATTTGAATGCTTGTTTGTGCAAAGTGGTCCAAGCTCCACACTGCTTGGCGTCAATTTCAAGTTTTGAAGTCGGTGGATTTCAACATTTTGATGCCAGGTAACCCTCAAAAAGACAAAAACCATGATTTTCTTTTTAATTAGGTATATATCTTGTTGTTCTGGTTCATTTCGTTGCTTTCGGAAATTGAGCCTGATAGTGTTTTTAATTGGTTTTGATGTATTGGACTTTGATTTAATTGCGTTTTCTTGCTAAGAGAGATGTCACCTATTGCTTAATAATATTTATATTCCCACATTTCTCCACTTTTTTTAAATAAAAAAAAATTTGTCTCTAATATTACCAAAAGCTCTTCCAATCATCAAGGTTTTTTTGTTTTTAGTTTGAAATATTCTTTTAGCAAGTTATATAAGGACCCGTTTAGTTTGTTGATTTGAATTTTTAATTTGAGTTGAGATGTGACTTTATGTGAGTTTTTTACTGTAAAAAAATTAGATTTGACTGTTTTTAAAATTTTTTTATTGTAACAAAACTCGAATCGGTGAGCCTAAATTTTTAAATGATTATAATACAACTTATTGGAATTTTTTAATAATATCATTGTCAAATTCTTTTTTTTTTCTTTATAACAGCAATGTGGCAGTTTTTGAAAAGAAAATCAGATGAGACAACACTTCCTAGTCCTAGTGAAAAAATAAAGTTGCAAAAACTTGGGTGGAGTTCAACCCTGAAAGTCTCCCAACAGATCCTGGATTGAGGCCTTCAATTTTCGATTACAATCATAATGTTCGGAATCAAGTTCGAAGAAAATATATGAATAATGGTCCTTTCAGTCTTCAAAGCATAATTTTCCATTTAAACAATTTGGAAAAGAAACAAGAAGATTCAATCCTGATTGGTTTAAGGAATGCTCAAATTGGTTAGAATACAATATATCAAAAGATGCTGCATTTTGTTTGCGTTGTTATCTTTTTAAACCGTATAAAGGAGAACTAGCAGGTGGCGATTCCTTCGTTGGCAAAGGATTTTCAAATTGGAAGAAAAAAGATAGATTGTAAGTTCATGTTGGAGGTCCTAATAGTGCTCATAATGAAGCTTGGAGAAAATGTGAAGCTTTGATGAATTAAGAGCAACATGTTGATAAAATTATGGAAAAGCAAACTCATCTAAATGCATCAATAGATTGTGTTCGATTTCTTTTAAGACAAGGTCTTGCATTCATGGTCATGATGAATCAGAGGAATCGATCGATCAAGGTAATTTTCTTGAGCTTCTGCAATTTCTTTCTGCTCACAATGATGAAATTAAAGGTGTTGTTGGACAAAATGCTCCTGAAAATCTCAAATTAACATCTCCTGACATCCAAAAGATATTGTGAATGCTGCTGCTGTTGAAACTATCAATGTCATTATTGATGATATTGGAGACTCATTGTTCTCAATTCTTGTTGATGAATCTCGTGACATATCAATGAAAGAGCAAAGAGCAAATGGCAGTTGTGTTGCGTTATGTGAAAAAAATGGGGCATGTAGTTGAACGTTCTATTGGTATTGAGCATGTTACTAGTACTACAGCACGTTCGCTAAAGGCTGCGATCGCATATCTAGATTGTAGGGGCAAGGTTACGATGAGGCTAATAATATGCAAGGTGAGCTCAATGGTCTTAAAACTCTTATTTTGAAAGAAAACTCATGTGCCTTTTATATCCATTGTTTTGCCCATCAACTTCAGTTAGCTCTCATATCTGTTGTCAAGAAGCATATTCAAACTGCATCACTCTTTTGTGTGGTTGCTAGTGTGGTGAATACTGTTGGCGCTTCACCTAAACGTTGCGCCATTCTTCAAGATAAGCGAGCTGTCATAATTGCCCAAGCAGTTAGAAATGGAGAGATTGCAAGTGGACGGGGACTAAATCAACAAACTTCTCTAAAACGTCATGGAGACACAAGTTGGGGCTCACACTATGGTACGTTAATTAGCTTGGTTACCATGTTTTCATCTATAGTTGAAGTCCTTGAAATAATTGTTGATGATGGATTGAGTTCTGAACAAAGATGTGAAGCAAGCAATTTATTGGATTCGATCCAATCATTTGATTTTGTGTTTAGTCTTTCATTTAATGAGAAATATATTGGGAGTTACAAATGAGCTATCAAAGGCATTGCAAAGAAAATGCCATGAGTTTAGTGCAAATATGCAAACAAAGGTTGCAAACGATGAGAGATAGTTGGTGAGATTCACTTTTTGATCAAGTCTCTTCATTTTGCCAAAATCACAACATTAATATTCCCAACATGGATGACATCTTTAGAGCGCGGGGATGATCATGACGCAAAGCTTAAGAAGTTACAAACTTCACCAATTTCGCGTGGAGTTATTTTACTCTGTCATTATATGCAACTTTAAGAATTAAATAAATATTTACTGAGGTAAATACTGGGGTGCTTCTCTGTGTAGCTTACTTATGTCCAGATGATTCATTTATTGCTTTTGATAAGAGAAATTTGATCGAACTTGCTAAGTATTATCCGAAAGATTTTTCTGTGGTCGAGCTTATGGTCTTGGAGAATCAACTTGAAACTTATATTATTGATATGCGCTCGAGTGAAGATTTTACAAGATTGAAAGGTATTAGTGCTCTTGCACAGAAAATGGTTGAGACGAGAAAGAAAATGTGTATCTATTAGTTTATCTGTTGATTACTTTGGCATTGGTTTTATCGGTTGCTATTGCTACTGTGGAGAGAGTATTTTCAGCCATGAATATTGTGAAGAATCGGTTACGGAATCGAATCAGAGAATAATGGATGAATGACATTTTGATCGTATACATCGAGAAAGAAATTTTTTATCGTGTTGACAATGAAGATGTTATGCAGCATTTTCAAAAAATGAAAACTTGTCGTTTATATTGTTATATGTCTTGTGAATTTTTTTATATATGTATTTTGTAGCTATTGAAAAATATTATGATAGTTTTTCATATTTTTCATGTAATTAATTTGTTAAAAAAAATTAGTGTACACCCTTAGTGAAGTAAAAGACTAGCTCCGTCACTGATTGGGTCCATGAGTAGTCAGACTAAAATATTTGAGTCGCTTTGCTAACTTCCCATAGTCTTGCGCACCTGTTACGAGCGCATGTGCGTTTGGAATTGGTTTTAAAAAGATTTTGTCTTCAATAAAATGTAAAATTGAGATTGTTTTGAGAATCATTTTAAGACCGATTTTGAAATTGTGTTTGATTGATTTTTTAAGAGATTGTTTTGAGTATATTAAAAAAAGTGAAATTGTGTTTATTAATTAATATATTATAATATTATTGATAAGTACTAAAAAATAAAAATAGAAAAGTGAAAATAACTTTCAACTGTTTTCTAATTCCTTCAAAAAAATTATTCTCACTGTTTTCGTTTTCATTTTTGTTTTCAAAATATTTGTTAAACAAACGTCGTTTCATTTTCATTTTTTATTTTTTGAAATACGTGAAAATCGTTTTTAAAAGCGGTTTCAAACACACATTATATTTTCATAATCGAGCATAATGGTCGTGCATTTTCTTATGATGTCATGTGTGAAAAATATTTGTGTGAGAAATGTTTGTACTTGTTGAACTATTGCTCACTAAGTTTTTTCATGTTATAGGTAAAAAACCTACTTCTCATTGTTGGCTTCACAACAGAGGATGTGTACGGTAGAGGGCCAGATGTGAATACCACTATGCGGTAGATTTCACATAAAAATGATTAATATGGTTTTTGAGATTTATTTTAGTAGTTATGTTTTTTATGATACATGCATGCATGAAGACCTTATTAGAACATGTATAATTATGTTAAGTTTCAGAAAGTTTAGAAACGGATTGTATCTATAATATTATGCTTTGTTGGTATTTTAGTTGAACTCATATTTCTGATATACGCAAGTTAAATTCCGAAACTTTTTACAGAGGAATGATCATTTATAGTACAATAAGTTTTTTTAAAAAAATCTAAACATTTTGGTAATTAAATATTGTTTTAAAGGATAAAAGCATTTTCGCTGTATAAGTTTTCAATTTGAGTTTAGATATGATTTTATGTGAAAATTTTTTATTATAGTAAAAAAAAATTAGATGTGACTTTTTATGAGAACTTTTAACTGTAACAAAATTAAATTTAAAAATTTAAATTGATAAAATGAATGAGACCTAAACCACATATATTAATTAATTAATAATCATTGCATTAAATTAATATATTTATAGTCGCTCTAATATTATTTGTTAGTTTTGAAAATTAAATGCGCAAAAAATTATGAAACGTGGCATACGATTGGATCATATAATTCAAAATTTTCTTAAAATTTTGACTGCAACACTATAAATATTTAGACATCATTTAATTCGCTATTTAAATTTTTAATTCGAGTTGAGATGTGATTTTATGTGAGAGTTTTTAATTGTAGCAGAAAAAATTAAAAGTGACTTTTTATGAAAATTTTTATTTGTAACAAAACTAAAATTAAAAACTTGAATTGGTGAAATATATAAGGCACCGTTTATTTCACCGATTTGAGTTTTTAATTTTAAGTTTTTACAGTAAAAAAATCTAAAAAAATATCACATTTAATTTTTTTTATTATAGTGAAAAGTTTTTAAAAAATATCACATCTCAACTTAAATTAAAAACTCAAATCTGCGAAGTCAACGAGGAATAAGATCTTTCACGCTAATCTCTAGTACTAAGCGAATGGAGTGTGGGCGTACGTAGAAAACAATTGAGAGAATCACACACTCACTTCTGTATCTAGATCTCAACACGTGGAAAAGGAGAGATTAAAACTTTTAAATTTTTGTGGTTTTTTGTTGATAATTATGAAAATAGTTGGACATTCAAAATTTTCCTCTTCTTCCTTTTTTTTTTTTCTTTCTTTTTTTTTTTCCCCTCACAAATGAAGTTTTCCCACGTGAAAGGAGTGAGTGAGAGTTGGGCAAGTTCAATGATCAATCACTTCCCCCCAATGATTAGCAAAAACAAATCACTTTCCCCCCAACTTTTCCCCTCTTTTTCTAGAACCAAAACTAGAATTTGACTATATTTTGTAGTGATTCAAAAAACGGAAAAAAAGAAGAAGTTAAAAAGAACCGGCTAGACCAGGGCCTTTTCTTTTGTGGCTGCCTTTTACATATACAGGATATATATGTGTGTAAAAAAAACGTAAATAAGATTCTATTCGGCTGCTCGTAATCTGGACTCTTCCGCTCTTCTCGTTTTTTTTTTTCCTTTGGTTTTTCCATTTTTGAAACTTAAGAACTGGCTACTTGGTCTTCTTCACTTACAAGTTTGAAAGCGAAACTCTGAAATGGCGGAGTATAGAGAAGCTTTGCTGAAGCAGGAGGAGAGAATTCATTATGATGAAAACTGTCCAGGTTGCAAGATTGACAGGCTTAAACGCTCCAATTCTGGGATTCCTCTCAAGCATTTGCTCTGTGCTTTCACTGTTTGCCTCGCTGCTGGTAAACTTTTATTTATTCATTTATTTATTAATTTCCAATTATTTTGACCTGATTATGTCGAAAATAAAATAAAATAATACAAGATACATTTTGGTGTTTTTTTAATCGCTGAATTCCATTAATTTATGTTTAACGGAATTTAATAATACAAGCTTTTGTTTTGTTTTGTTTTTTTTGTTTGTTTGTTTGTTTGTTTTGTTTTGTTTTGTTTTTTTTTTTTTTTTTTTTTTTTTTTTTTTTTTTTTTTTTTTTTTTTTTTTTTTTTTTTTTTTTTTTTTTTTTTTTTTCTGTTTCAACAACACTCTGTCTTTGTCATACCACCTCCATTTTGTTTAGAAGTATCTTGTAAATTATTATTTTTCATTTTGGGGCTAAGGAAGCATCCTGTTGAAGTTTGGTATTGGATGGTGGGGTATGATATTGAGAAAATCTAAAAATGGTGGGACTTAGCAAAAAATAAAATAAAAAATAGTAAAATTGGGTTTTATCAAGGCCATATTTGGATTGCACATGTTCATTTCCTTAATGAAAAAGTACAAAAATGGGGGGTGATCGGTACCTATTCTTATAGTACTGTTCGGGGGTCGGTAAGCTAACTCCTGTGGATGTTACTTGCCGGGTTGTCTACCTAAATCGGAGGCAGTCATAGATGCTATAACCAAACTTCGTAAGAAAGTATCTTGGGAAGTCCATGAAGAGATCTCAACAGGAGAATTAGGTGACGTTTGGTTCATGGATTCAGAACCATGATTAATGATTTTGATTTTTAAAATTTAAATTTTTTGTGAGAGAAAAACATTGTAGCGAACCAAGAATTATGATCCAGAATTAGGCCAGAACCGTGGAAACAAACGAAGCATTAGTGTTTTACTACCAGCCACATGATACGCTGTGCTAATATTGGAAATTATAATTAAGTAACACATATATGGTTATGAGAGAATATATTAGAGCATTTGTTTTCAATCATATGCTAAACAAACTAATCTAATCACACTTGCGGAAATAAATTAATTATGGCTAACCTTTGCATGAAATGCATCTTTAAGATCAATTTATAACATCTCACTTTTGGTTCATGTTTAGGAGGTGTATGTTAAAGATGCCCTATTTGAGGACAAAAAGTTCAGTTTCTTGATTAATTGCTTTTCAACAAAACTTGTCCTTTAGAAAATCTGTGTTCGCTTGTATAGACAAATACTGCACTATTATTTACTTTTGGCTAATAATTCCTTTTACGAAGGAAACCAAATCTTTTATTGCTTTCCTGAGTCAAATAACGAAATGCTGTGTATTTTTATTGTAGTTGCTGAAATTCCATCTCTTGAAATAATGGAATGCAAAAACGTACAATTCACTTAGATTTAGCTACGTATGGCATGGAGCCACACAGCCCTGAGGAGTTGGTCTCTGTTTTTGAGCCACAGAACACAACAAATGCTTCATTATGAAGCAATAACTGTTTAGGTGTTTAATTTTTTTCTGGTTTATAAGATTAATTTTCTGTTGAAAAGCGTGTTTATTCCCTACTGTTTAGGAAATTCTATTTTCGGAAATATATGTAATCTCTTTATGGTAGATTAGTTGCTGATTTGTAGCTAGCTATAAATTAAGAGTTAGTTTCCTATTCTTTCTCTAACTAATTGTAACCTAATTGTATATAAACGAGGCTGATTACCTCTTATGAAATAGAAGAGTGACATCTAAAGCGCAAATTGCGCCTTTTCCAATTTTCCGGTTCCCATGTTGGTCTCACCACGTTAGATATCCCTACGATGCTTAAACAAATCAGATGATCTCTGATTGGTCGTTGAGAGAGTCAGATTCATTCCTCAGAGATATGAGTACTGATTCTGATGTTCTCGCTTCTCATAGTAGGGCTCCCGGGCGGTTAGCCTTCTCGACTAGCTCTGGTGCTGGAAAGATGAGACGGCTAGGTATTCTAAAAACCTACCGGTTTCCACATGGTATCAGAGCCAAACATCTGATCACCGGAAAAATCAAACTGCCACCATGTCAGGCACATCCAGCGTAGGTGATCAGTCGCTCGATTTTGGATCGGCGAAATCATCTTCGAGATCCTCTCTCTTGTCAAATACTCATGACAATCACTCTTCTCAACCAATCACCACTCACAAACTCAATGGAGAAAATTATCTTCAATGGTCCCAGTCGGTAATGTTATTCATCCGGGGTCGTGGAAAAACTGGGTTTCTGACGGGAGCTACATAGAAACCAAAAGAATGTCTCGAATCCATTGAGATCTGGGAATCTGAGAATGCCTTGATCATGTCATGGCTGATCAATTCGATGGAGCCAGCAATCAGCAAGACTTACATGTTCCTTGCCACCGCTCAAGAAATCTGGGAAGCTGTAAAGGAGACTTTTTCTGATGTGGGAAATTCTGCCCAAGTCTATGAAATTACCACGCGCATCTGCAACACGAAACAAGGCGATCTGAGCGTGTTGCAATACTATAATACGCTCAGAACCTTATGGCAGGAGCTAGATTTATTTTATGAATATGAATGGCACTGTCCACAAGACAGTGCCATATTCAAAAAGATGATTGAGAAGGATCGTGTCTTCGCATTCTTGGCTGGCTTGAACAACGAACTTGATGAGGTTCGTGGAAGAATTCTTGGACGTGAAGTCCTACCATCCACTCGTGAAGTATTCTCCGAAGTCTCAGGGAGGAAAGTAGGAGTGTTATGTTGGGAAAAGAAACCCGAGATGCTCCTATCACTGAGTCAGAATCATCAGCCCTTGCAGTCAGAAGCAACAGGTTCTCCTCCAACTTTTCTAATGGCGACAGGTTCTCCACCTTTTCTAATGGCGGGATTGACTCTCGAAATAAAATAGACCTGTGCGCGACCATTGTAAGAAAACTGGACACACCTGTGAAACTTGTTGGAAACTGCACGGAAAACCCTCTCATCTGAAAAACGGACAACCATACCAAGGGACTAGCAGAGCTCTTCAAACGGCCTCTGAGGAATCAATACCAGAGAGTGCTCATGTTTCCCTTAATAAGGAACAATTGGAAAACCTTATGAAACTCCTGAATTCCACCTCTCTTCCATCTGCCTCTATTGCCCAGAAAGGTAATTTTCCTCAGTCCTTCAGTGTGCTAACCGAGGACAGAACCCCATGGGTTATAGATTTTGGTGCCTCAGATCATATGACAGGTTGTTCCTCACTCTTCTCCTCTTATACTCCTTGTGCTGGTAACTTGAAAGTAAAAATTGCGGATGGTTCGTTAGCCACAGTAGCAGGGAAAGGTTCAATAATTTTGTCCACAAATCTGGTCCTAAAGCCTGTACTTCATGTTCCTTCTATTTCATGCAACCTTTTATCCATTAGCAAACTCACCCACGATCAAAATTGTGTTGCTAAGTTTAGCTCTTCTTCATGTCAATTTCAAGAACTGGCTTCGGGGAAGATGATTGGCAATGCTAAAGAGTGTGGAGGACTTTATTACCTAGACAAGGAAGACTCAAGTAGACAAAATTTAGTCAGCAGATCCTTTTCTGTTTCTTTATGTGAAAATAATGTTATGTTGTGGCGCTATAGACTCGGCCACCCTAGCTTTCCGTATCTGAAAAATTTGTTTCCATCTCATTTCAATAATAAAGACCCCACTTCTTTTCAATGTGAAATTTGTCAACTCTCCAAACATCACCGTGTATCATTTCCATCTCAGTCATACAAACATTCAGCACCATTCTCAATAATACACAGTGACATATGGGGTCCCTCACAAGTCAAAATTTTTTCAGGTGCTAGATGGTTTATTACTTTCATCGATGATCATACTAGGCTATGTTGGGTATATCTCTTAAAAACAAAATCCGAAACAGAAAAAGTTTTTAAAAATTTTCATTCGATGGTCAAAACTCAGTTTCAAACCCAAATTCAAATCCTCAGGACAGACAATGGGAGTGAGTATTTTAAAATTGTTCTTGGGAAATTTCTTCAAAGTGAGGGAATTGTTCATCAGAGTAGTTGTGCAGATACCCCTCAACAAAATGGGTTGGCTGAACGGAAAAATAAGCACCTACTTGAAGTTGCTAGGTCTTTAATGTTCACCACAAATGTGCCTAAAACTTTATGGGGAGAAGCTATCCTTACTGCATCATTCCTCATCAATAGAATGCCCACTCGAGTTCTAGAGTTCAAAACTCCTCTAGAAGCGTTTCAAAGTGTCTATCCAACAAATCGTCTGATTTCAGATTTACCACTTAGAATATTTGGGTGCACCTCATTTGTCCTTATCCATTCTCATAGCAGGGGTAAATTTGATCCAAGGGCCATCAAATGTGTTTTCTTGGGATACTCACCAACAAAAAGGGGGTATAATTGTTTTGATCCAAAGACAAGGAAAATGTTTGTTAGTATGGATGTGTCATTCTTTGAGAATCAGCCCTACTTAACCAAAAACTCACTTCAGGGGGAGAGTGTGAAAACAGAAGAGAGTTTTTGGAATTTTTGGGATACTCTTCCTACCTCTGTGAGCCGTAATCCACAAACTGTTTCCATTCCTCAAACCGTTTCCATTCCTTCACCAGATCACTCTATTCCCACTGTTGTGCTACCCGAGTCCACTCCACTCACTAAAGAGACTGGGAAAGAGGTCCAAAGACCAGAATTATTTGTCTATGAGAGACGGAAAAGGAAGGGAAATGAAGGAATTCACACTCCAAAGAAGAACCAGTCATTGGATCCACCAGTTCTTGATGCTTCAAGTCTAAACCCTCCTGCGGATCATGTTCCCTGCGAAAGTCTAGGTAATTCTACACCAACTCAGGACTTAGATATTCCTATTGCCCTAAGAAAAGGAAAAAGAACATGCACTTCTCATCCTATTTCAGACTATATGTGCTATAGTAATTTGTCTCCATCCTATCGAGCTTTTGCCACTAATCTGTCCGATGTAGTAATTCCAAAGTCAGTTCAAGAGGCATTGAGTGTTCCAAAATGGAGAGCAGCAGTTATGGAGGAGATCAAAGCACTAGAGAAAAATGGAACTTGGGAGTGTGTAGCAATACCGAAGGGAAAGAAAATAGTTGGGTGCAAGTGGGTGTTTACGGTGAAGTATAATTCAGATGGTTCTATTGAAAGATTTAAGGCTCGCTTGGTCGCAAAAGGATTCACACCATCCTACGGAATAGACTATCATGAAACCTTTGCCCCGGTGGCAAAGCTCAACACTATTCGAGTTCTTCTCTCTGTTGCTGCAAACTTAGATTGGAAAATTTCCCAACTTGACATCAAAAATGCATTCCTAAATGGGGATTTGGTAGAAGAAATATTTATGGATGTTCCTCCAGGTTTTGAAGATGTTTATGGTATAGATAATGTGTGCAGACTGAAAAAATCCCTCTATGGATTAAAACAGTCTCCAAGGGCCTGGTTTGATATTTTTTCAAAAACGGTGAAGAGATATGGATACACTCAAGCTCACACTGATCACACTTTGTTCTTCAGGAAATCTCAGGATGGGAAAATTTCAATTCTAATTGTGTTTGTTGATGATATTCTTCTTACTGGAGATGACACAACCGAAGGAGAAAGAATGAAGCAGATTCTAGCTAAAGAATTTGAAATCAAGGACCTTGGACCCATGAGGTATTTTCTTGGTATGGAAGTTGCAAGATCAAAGAAAGGAATTTGTGTTTCACAAAGAAAATATACTGTTGATTTTCTCAGAGAGACAAGTTTTCTAGGAAGTAAACCAACAGATACACCTATCGAAGAGAACCACAAGCTGGGATATAAGAAAGGAGAGGTGCCCATCGATAAAAGGAGATACCAGAGGTTAGTTGGGCGTCTAATCTATCTATCCCATACACGGCCCGATATTGCCTATGCTGTAAGTGTGGTTAGCCAATTTATGCACGAGCCATATGAAGAACATCTTGGAGCAGTTCATCGCATTTTGAGATATCTCAAAGGAACCCTAGGAAAGGGGTTATTTTTCAAAAAGAATGATTCAAGGAAGATCGAGGCATTTATTGATGCAGATTGGGTTGGATCAGCAAGTGATAGAAGGTCTACCACTGGGTACTGCACATTTATATGGGGTAATCTAGTGACCTGGAGAAGCAAGAAACAACCAGTGGTTGCAAGGAGTAGTGCTGAAGCTGAACTTCGAGCTCTTGCACAAGGAATATGTGAACTTCTATGGTTAAAAAGAATTATGAATGAGCTATCACTTCAAAGTGAGAATCCCATGTTGTTGTATTGTGACAACAAGTCAGCAATCAGTATTGCTCATAATCCAATCCAGCATGACCGTACTAAGCATGTGGAAGTGGATACACATTTTATCAAAGAGAAGGTCAAAGAAGGGGTTGTGTGCATACCTTACATCACATCTAGAGGACAACTTGCTGATTTTCTGACAAAAGGTCTACCACGGGTCAGGTTTGAGGAACATCTATCCAAGTTGGACATGATTGACATTCATGCTCCAACTTGAGGGGGAGTGTTGAAAAGTGTGTTTATTCCCTACTGTTTAGGAAATTCTATTTTCGGAAATATATGTAATCTCTTTATGGTAGATTAGTTGCTGATTTGTAGCTAGCTATAAATTAGGAGTTAGTTTCCTATTCTTTCTCTAACTAATTGTAACCTAATTGTATATAAAAGAGGCTGATTACCTCTTATGAAATAGAAGAGTGACAGACGGCTAGGTATTCTAAAAACCTACCGGTTTCCACATTTTCGCTATAGTAGTTGTACCGCCATAGCTGCCGATGAAGCAAATTGCTTTAGCTCTTCTAAATGGGATGGTATGAAAGCTACAAAAGGAGTTAGAGGTGTCCTATTTTTCTAGGTCCTGCGAACTTTATGACTAGAAGTGGAAGTACTTCATTGGCCTGCTTTGTTTAATGCTTTGAGAGGGATAATGACATAGTTGATTTTGGTGCAAGGTTGAAAGTTTTGCTGTCCTGCAATTTTCTTGTTAGCGTATTTGATCATCCTGTCCTATTGATGTAAGACTCCTCTATTCTTTTTTATTTTTTTTGGTTTTATTTTGTTTTATTGGAGTGGGTAAGGGTGAAAGGACAATACAACTTTCCTAAACGCTAGATATCTTTGGGCTTGTTTGGAAGGTATACTCAAACCCAAATCATGATTCTGCTACAACGTTTTTTTATCTCACAAAGAGTTTGAATTCCAAAAGTTTTCTCTCATAAAATTCCCACCAATGAACCCAAATCATAATTTGAGTATACCTTCCAAATGGGCCCTTCACGATTCTTCTACTTTTCTTTTCTCTTTTTCCTTTGTACTATTGTGGCATTATTTACAACAACCGTACATGTTAAGCTTCATTAATGTCTTTCCATCTACATTTTAAAAGTAATTGTTTCTATGTACCTCTGTTTTTAGAAGCGACTATGCGCTTCATTCCACCATGATTACTTTGACCTATGAATTTTTACCTGACATGTCGTCTTTTGTGGCTAAAATTTTGTAGCTTTGCCGATATCGTCTCTTTTCCCTTTCCTGTATTTCATGGTGAGTATGCCTTTTTGCAAAACTTCTAAAGTGTTGTAGATCTGTTATATCATGGGGTGAATTACACAAATTCTCACTATTAATTCGTTATGTAGAATAAGCAGTCATGCCGGGTAGGAATCATTTGTCTTCCTTTGTTCAAAGTGTACCAATCATGATAAAACTTCTGACTGAATGAATTTTGGAAATTAGCGAGTAGCTCTTTTCTACATCATGCTGCACTATTACTTTTCAATTGACAAATTTAAAACATTGTGCAAAGATTAAATTTGATGACTGGCACTTTTGAATATGCAAATACTTATGTTTGAATGAACTTTATTTATATTTTAGATGCTATTTCATTTAAATTTATATTACTTGCTATTCATATGGTGTATGCGGTCTACAGATAAGGGATTTCCATATTGCAAAAAGGGAGGAGGATATTGGCTTCTATGCTGGTTTTGTGGGTGAGCTTGTTTACTACTCGATGTACAAACATTATCTTTACATGGAAAAAAAGAAAAAAGTTCATCTCTAAGATTTTCGTCCTTATGATATCATTTATTCTGTGAAGGATCCGCGTTCATGTTTGGAAGATTTTTGACTTCTATTCTTTGGGGAATGATAGCTGATCGATATGGCCGTAAACCTGTGATAATGTTTGGCACACTTGCAGTGTTAGTACTTTTTTCAGCTCTTTCTGTTGTACCTTGATGAAGTTTCTACTTCTCTTGTCAATGTTCCATTTCCATCTCTCTCTCTCTCTCTCTCTCTGGTTTTTCCTTTTTGTTTTTCATGATGGTGATTCTGATGATGCTGATGGTTATTGTCTCAGGGTAATTTTCAATACACTTTTTGGACTTAGTACAAACTTTTGGATGGCAGTTTCTATGAGGTTTCTGCTTGGTAGTTTGTGTGGTATACTTGGGCCAATCAAGGTAGGCCTTAATGTGAATTTAATTTCTTAGAAATACAAATTTGGAGTTTTACTTTGTTTGATTATAGAATTAGATTTTGTTTTGGTTGTATTTTAAATGCATGTTTAAGAAGTTGAGTAAACCACAGATGTAGAAATGTGGGTGGGTGGGTGGGTGTATTCTCCTGTTTGGTGGAATTATTTATATGCTAATTCCTTAATGTAGCAAAACAAGTTAGAACATATCTCCTGTTCGGTGGAACAAATGTCTTTAATGGTATATATAAAAGAAAAAAGAGGACTGAATTCAATAAAACTTGCAGCTTTAGATACGCTCTTCTTGTCATGTCAAAAGAATTTGGTCATATATAAACTTTCTTACCTGCGCCTTTTTTGCCTCGTTGTTATATATATATGTACATTGGCTCCTGCCAATTAGATTTCTACTAACTGTGCTACATGTTAGATGTAGAAGGGAGCCGTGATGTTTCAGTTTGGCTGAATATTATTTGTCTTGGTTTGGAGGAACCCATTCATGCTGAATAGGCTACCGTTGATATTTCTATTTTGAATATGTAGCTTGCAACTTTCTAATTTCAGATTTATTTATTTATTTATTTATTGCTGCCTCAGATACGCAGTTAAAGCGATTTGATTAAGCTATCTTTTTTTTTTTTGTTTTTTTTTTTTTGAAACATGAAACTATGTATTTATTATCAAAAAATAATTATATGAAGAGGAAGAGCTTTCCTCTCTAAAGTAAAGCTGTGAACAGGTAAAAACTCATTCTGATTTAATTACACTATCTTTTCAGGCATATGCTTCAGAAATTTGCCGTGAAGAATACCAAGCTTTCGGAATGTCACTGGTAAGAACCTCCCCTTGTGTTAATTTAAGCTTTTATGCCGTGGTTCTTGTGATAATAGGAAGATTAATTGTTTAGATCAGCACATCATGGGGACTCGGATTAGTCATTGGTCCAGCTCTTGGAGGTTTCCTTGCACAGGTACTGTTCTTATCTTATCTGGGGTTTGTTCCTTACTTAGAAAAAGAATAGTGGCTTTATTGCTCAATATCATATACCCGTGGTACTGACATGACTGACTATTTGAGAGAAAAAATTATTTTGGTTTAGCAATTATGTGCGAGGAGATTTGCAACTACTTTGCTATGAGATGGTGGAAAAAGGGGACAAATTTTAGTGAAATTGTCTGTGTACTCTGTGCATGAGATAGAAAGTCACTGTACCTATGTAACAATAGCCAAACATTATAAAAAACATTCCTTTTAACTTAAAGGAACTAGGCACCCCTTTATCCCCTTTTTAATTCTAGCATTACTTTGTGTTAGGATCCGTTAACTTGGAAACTTGTTTGGTTAGTGGGCTGGTAGAGTTAGTAGGAATTAGTATAAATAAAGGGCTGAGTAGCTCACTTGAGGTATGTTGTGATTTTAAGAGTTTTGGGAGACTGAGATTAGGGAGAGCGGTGGTCTCTCGAATACCACCAAATTAGGAGTTCCCGGAGTACTCAAATTCTCCGTTCTATCCTTTACATTTCCGTTTAGTAGTGTTTGGTAGTGTAATTGGAGATTGGTTAGTGGTTTTCAATAAAAGAATTCCCTTATTTCTATCCAATTCCTTGTCAATTTCAGGATTGATATGTGTATGTTTGTCTGTGGAAAACCTAAGTACCTAACAATTTGGTATCAGAGCTCTGATCCATGGCACCTAAACCAGCAGATCCGGAGAGGGTGACTACGGTGGAAAAGGGGCTGGCGGTGGTCCAGGAGGCGGTCCACGTGGTGGTGATATAGAATCTTCCGCAGATCCATGAAGAAGTGGTTGGGCTGCGTGGTGAACTGGGGGAGGTTCGGACTCATATGGAAGACGTGCAGGCGGCGCTGCGGAGGATGGAGGCACTGTTGGCGGTGCGGCCGATGGCCGGAGTGGCTGATTTGGGTCGCGACGGCGAGCTACGGGACGAGGAGAGCCTAGATCGCGATGACCCAGGCGGAGTGGAGGTGCCGAATCGGGCGGATCTTCGCCAGGAAGTGCCGATTCACGAAGATCGAGGCCTCAAGAGGGAGTTCCGGCGCCGGAGAGACGTGAGTCTCATGGAGGAGTGAGAGTTCCGTCGCGATCTGGGGCTGGGTGGTCCGGATCTGCAGCGCGAGGGTTTGTTCGACGACGGGAGGAGGGCGGAAGGAGGTTGCGACTGTCGGGAGAGGGCGGCGGAGCTTGGTCGGCGACGGGAACCGGAGTGGGAGCCGGAGTTAGAGGAGGAGAGGCTTGTTCCAGGGCTGGGGCGGCATGGGTACCCTTGAAACAGGGAACCCAGCCCTGATTTGGACGTGTTTGGGGCTCGACGAGGTGGAGACCAGGGGCTGCACCGTGGAGGAAGAGGCGGGAGGCCCAGAGAGTCCATTGCCAAGAGACTCCGGAGGTACACCGGGGAAGGGGACAAATCCGTGGAAGGAGGATGGATTTGCCAATAGTTTTTGTGACCATTAATGAGCTTGCGCAGAGGGTTTCAAGTGAATTGATAGACTTTGTGGTTGCTTTCTAAGATACCAAGAAAACAGAGAAGACAATAATTGATTGGCTCCAACTGGAAGATGTGATTTACAGGGACAGCAACAATTCAGACTCTCCAATCAAGGAATTAGCAGTCTTTTGTTCTTGATCATTTAGATGTTATTTTTCAATTTTATTTTTTAGTTTTCACCTTGGGGACAAGGTGATTCTTTGGGGCGGGGGTAATGTTAGGATCCGTAAACTTGGGAACTTGTTTGGTTAGTGGGCTAGTAGAGTTAGTAAGAATTAGTATAAATAAAGGGCTGAGTAGCTCACTTGAGGCATGCTGTGATTTTGAGAGTTTTGGGAGACTGAGATTAGGGAGAGCGGTGGTCTCTCGAATACCACCAAATTAGGAGTCCCCGGAGTACTCGAATTCTTCGTTCTATCCTTTACATTTCCGTTTAGTAGTGCTTGGTAGTGTAATTGCAGATTGGCTAGTGGTTTTCAATAAAAGAATTCCCTTATTTCTATTCAATTCCTTGTCAATTTCAGGATTGATATGTGTATGTTTGGCTGTGGAAAACCTAGGTACCTAACTAATGTTAGGATCCGTTAATAACTTGGGAACTTGTTTGGTTAGTGGGCTGGTATAGTTAGTAGGAATTAGTATAAATAAAGGGCTTAGTAGCTCACTAGGGTAGGCTGTGATTTTGAGAGTTTTGGGAGACTAAGATTAGGGAGAGCTAGTGGTCTCTCGAATACCATCAAAATTAGGAGTTCTCCGGAGTCCTCGAATACTCCAGTCTATCCTAAGCTTTCTTTACGTTTTTCTTAGTTTGGTTGTAAAATTCTATGAGCTAGTATTGGTGATGATCAATAAAACTACTCTGATTGTCTTCTATTTTTGTTCTTTTGTGTGAAAATTGAGCTGTGAGAATCAGGTTCCTAACAATTTGGTATCAAAGCAATCGATTCTCGAAAAAAAAAACTGTGGAAAAAAAATATTACAAAAAAACAGGTGAGAAGAGTCTGGAATCGTGGGGTTTCGAGAACCAGAGCCGCCGACTGTACAAAATGCGCCGGTGAGCGACGACGGAGGGAAGATAGCCAGATCTGGAATTGCGCGAGATTGACGAAGATTAGAGCCATATGTCGCGATCTGGTGCTGAGACGTTCAAATCTGAGAAGAACGACGACCCTGGCTGATGCGAACTGGTCTGCAAATCCAACGCCGGCGAACGACGCCAGAGATTCGACCTGAGATGGGCAATTCACGCCAGCGTGGGACACAGGTGGAGATGCGAACTGTTTGGAGCGATTTTTTGCGACCCGGAGCTAGATCAACTAGATCTAAAGTGAACGACAATAGATTCGTGACAGGATCGAGCATAGAGATGGGGTTGGGTTTCGCGATCCCGGTGCGTTCGAAGGTGATTCCGGTTGGATTTGGACCAGGTGTCACAATTCCGGTGCTTTTGAGGCTAATTCCGGCCGAATTCGGACTGGGTCACGCAAGTTCGGCCCGATTTGGGCGGACTCCGGCGAAATTAGGGTTGGGTCCTGAAATTCCGGTGGCCCTTGGTCTGGGTTTTGCGATTCTGATGTGATTAAGACTGATACCGGTGATGTTTGGGTTGGGCCTCGAATTTATAGCAAGATTATAGCCAATTATAGCCATATATGGACTGGATCTTCAAGTTTTGGCATGAATAGGGCTAGGTCTGGGCGATCTGAGTTGGGTGAAGGAGATTGGGTTTTACAATCTGATTTGAGAGAGCGAGTTGGGTCTTCTCGATTGGGAGTCAAAATCAATCTAAGGGTTTCGAGTAGGGAGAGGGAAAGGTGGCACGACACCCTATGGGAGGGCCGAACGGATCAACGATTTCAGCGAATGGATATGCCATTTTTTGCCGGAGAAGACCCTGATGGATGGGTTTTTAGAGCTGAACGATACTTTTTGTTCTATAGAATGACGAATAGTTAGAAAATCCAAGCTGCTGAAATGGCTATGAAAGGTGATGCTTTGGCTTGGTATCAATGGCAGGATGCTCGTTGCCCGTTCTATAGTTGGAATGAATTGAAGACTCATCTGCTTAAGCATTTCAGATTGTCATCCGACGAGGCCTTACATGAGAGTTTCTTGGTGAAACATCAAGAGGATATTATGGCTGACTGTAGACGACAATTCAAGGTACTTGCTAGACTTGGGAAAGAGATTTCGAATTCGGTTTTAGAGAGTTGTCATTACAAAATTAGAAGTCGATAAAGAGCAAGTGGTAGGCAGTTCAACCAGGTTGCTTCCAGCTCAAACAACATATGTTTCAGATCAAATGGATGTTCAAGGAGACTTGACTATGAAGAATTTTGAGGGCAAGGTGGACTAAGGCATTGAAAAGGAAGTTGATTTTCAATCTGGTGCTAGTAATGAGGGGCTTCAAGATATGGGAAACAAGATGTCAATGACATTAAAATTTTCCAAGGATGTTACTATAGAGTCGAAGCTTTCTGCACCAGTGAAAGAAGTTAACAGTGGAGTCCATTCTTGTATTTTAAAAGATGAATTTGATTCTGTTTGCAGCAATTCTGGAGCTGTTGACAAAGGAATGGAGAGTGTACACTTGCAGCTGCCCTCCATTGTTGATGTTTTGACAAACAACAAGGCAGCTTTCTCTGGCGTGGTGGAACGTGCACTGTAGCAAGATAACGCTTGTGGGAGGAAGGTTTTTGTTATAAATGAATTGTTTGAGCTGACCAACAAGGTCTTCCATTGCTACAAGGATGATTTTGAGGCCGAGCTTCATGGTTTCGCTGCCTTTAAAGTGGTTCTTAATTTCAGCTCCAAACAAAAGTGTGAAGTTGAAAAAATAGAGTTAACAAGAACATTTGAAGCAAGTTCTGTACGAATCATTCCGTTCGACGTTCCAAGATCCAAGCTCATCAAGATTGGAAGGAAGTGGAGTCACACGGCTGGGATTACTTAACACCTTGAGGACAAGGTGTTTCTTTGGGGCGGGGGTAATGTTATGATCTGTTAATGACTTGGGAACTTGTTTGGCTAGTGGGTTGGTATAGTTAGTAGGAATTAGTATAAATAAAGGGCTTAGTAGCACACTAGGGTAGGCTGTGATTTTGAGAGTTTTGGGAGACTAAGATTAGGGAGAGCTGATGGTCTCTCGAATACCATCAAAGTTAGGAGTTCTCCGGAGTCCTCGAATACTCCAGTCTATCCTAAGCTTTCTTTACGTTTTTCTTAGTTTGGCTGTAAAATTCTATGAGCTAGTGTTGGTGATGATCAATAAAACTACTCTGATTGTCTTCTATTTTTGTTCTTTTGTGTGAAAATTGAGCTGTGAGAATCAGGTTCCTAACACTTTGCCACTATGTATATTGAGGGCTAAGGGAGTTTGGTTTCTCATGGGTCATGCCTTGAAGTTGTTTAGCGATGCTGGTTCTTTCTCCTCCTTCAAGCTTCAGTCAAAGGGGCTTGA